GCCACAATGCCTGGCTATTTTTTGGTTACATCTGTCATTGCTGTTTTTGGTGGGCCCGGGCTGGATTCGAACCCGCCACCTTAGGTGTATGTGGCACCCTAGCCACTTGAGCCACAGGCGCCGAGCCTCATCTTATACTTTCTATCAGTATTAGCAGCAGTCTTTTCTATAAGGAGCTCTACACAGGGGATATTTTTTAGAACTGGTCTTAGATAATGGTTACAATCAACCTGTATTTCTCACTTTGGGTTGGTAAATCAGTCTCTTGTGAACGTGGTTAGCAAGAACATTTCTCTACATAGTCCCCCTAGTGAACCTGAAGAAGGGAGATGCAGACTCTGGATCGTGCTGTGGTGTAACCACTTGGGGATGCCTAACTGAACAGTCTGACTGCCAGTGCAACACATAGCTCTGCCATCCCAGTAGAGCACTGGGTTTCAGGAAGAAGGGTATGTAAGAACTGTCCCTAAATGGCTATAATCCAAAACTACAAGATCACAAATTTCAGAAATTTTGAGGTGACTTGCTGGTCAGGAACACTTCTCCTGGTAACCACATGCACTAAAGCAGGGGTCCTCAAACTTTTTAAACAGGGTGCCAGTTCACTGTCCCTCAAACCATTGGAGGGCTGGACTGTGGGCCCCGGGATGAGTAGGCTGCTAAGCAGGACAGAGCGGCAGCAAAAACACCTGGCAGGCCGGATAAATGTCCTAGGCAGGTCGCATGTGGCCCGCTGGCCATAGTTTGAGTACACCTGCACTAAAGAGTAAGGAAGGGTTCTCCCACTTAACCATTGGAGAACTCCTAGTCTCTAAGATGGCAGACCATGAGAAAACTCCATTCATATGGTAAATCTGGCCGACGACTTCATTCAGTGCTTCTCTGTGGACTGTTAAAATAGCCCAGTGAACTCCCAGGACCACTCTGAGAAATGGATGAAAAATTTGACACTTCCATAGAGTAATTACCAATTCATTTCCAGTGTCTATTCTCTAGACTTTAAGTGAGATTATGTCTTTTCCAATTTACATACACTTAAGAGCCATTTCTTAAAATATTTTACATTAAAGCAATGAGGAAAAAATAAAAGCAGAAACTTGTAAAAATACATCTTTTAATAAACATCAAGAAATACAGTGCACTTTTATTGAGGTTTTACATTGCAGTTTACAGTAAACGTACTATCCGTTACAGTATATATGTACAAGTAAAGTAAACTCAGTTTCATTTTTTTTTTTCTCCCATGGCTGGATAAATCAAATACACTACATGGTCCCACAGTTAAGGTTGTTTTTCCAAAGTGGCTTTTACAAAATGCCTTTAACATTAATAGGCTTTTAACAACAATAAAAAAGGTATCACCTCCATCACAATGATAGCTTAATGAGTCCTCAAAAGTGGCTAACAAGAATGGTAAATACTTGCTTTTCTTTCAATGGCTTTAAAAAATAGCTACTGATAGCAACTCAAAAACACTAAAGAAAAAAGACAATAAGGAAACAGTTGCTTCTTTTGCCTAGTGAATTGATAACAATTAATAATTTGAGGCTACAGATTATGAAGCCAGAAGATTCTTGTACCATAGCTTAATGTCTACATTTGTAATCCCTTAGACTAAAACTTACCTAGTATCATTAATGCTCAGTCCATTTTTCTTTAACATTGTTTATGCAAAGATCAAGGGAATGGTAGAATTCTTGATCCTTTTGGACAAAAAAGTTCAGCGAGACAGGGGACTAAAATTAACTAGCACACGGGAAAAACTAATCTCAAAATTCTAACTGCCATAGGACTTGGGTACATCCAAGATGAATGACAAGAATCAGAGCTGAAAGAAATGGCCGGCTTTGGAGGCTCATGCCTACAGTGCCAGCTACTCTGGAAGCTGAGGCAGGAGGATCACTTGACCCATGAGTTCAAGGCTGCAGTAATCTATAATCGTACCACTATACTCCAGCCTGGGTGACAGTGAAACCCTGTATCTAAAAAATTAAATTAAATTAAATTAAAATGTACTAAAAGGAATCATAAGCCCAAACTAAGAAACCATAGTCCTGTATACTTTCTACTGATGGCATTTAAAAATTATACAACTGGATTTATTTGCTATATACATAAACTAGTGTTAGAATTGGGGAGGGAGTATCAAACACATCTATACAAATATCAGACTCATACTCAGATTTTCAAAAAGGCATAATAATCTTTTACCATATTACTAGCTATTTGTAAAATCTATAATGGTTAATAAAACAAAATCCTTATGAATATAGTGCTAAGCAAATTATACCAATTTAATAAGTGGCTCAATTCATAAGGCTTAAGACCAATATCCCTGAATTTCTAAGTGTTCATCTCACTTTTAACATGGTTTTATCCAATTGTTACCTCATCTGAAGAGAGATTTTAAAAACTCCTCTCTAATACATCATCACGCTTTTAAAGGTGGAAAGGAAACAATTTGATCTCTCTTCCATTTTGCCCATTCTCATGAATCAGATAAACGGTGTTATTACAGCCTTTATGTTAACATAGGTGCCCTCACGATCCAATGGATTGAAGTAACTGAATTTCTACGTCCAAGATATTGGTGGTGTACAATTTTTCTGTCTGCCAGGAAGTCATGTCGCTGGTTAAATATATTCCTGGATTAATGATTGAGAAGTTAAGGCCAATGCAGTCAGACTGTTCCCTATTATCAAGAAACAGGTCTTCTCTATCAAAATGTCTTGGCGGATGGAGCCAGATCTGATACTTTTCATGTATCCTCTGTAGCACCTACTAAAGTGTTGGGCAGAGATATATGCTCAAGGGAATAACCAGTGATAGGAGAGGAACTAAATCAAGGGTCACGGTAAAACCATACCTTACTGTACCCATCATTCAAAAGGCAGTCAACAAAGTGAATCTCTGAAGCTGTCATAAGTAGAGGGGACTCTTGTCCCTACACTTATGTCTGAAAGAGAACAAACCATTATGGCCCTTTTATTTACTTCTCTTAGTCACTAAGAGATTATATATGTGCGTTAAGTACTTACTGCTTATTGAATTATACCTGGGAAATTACTTCTGTCTCAGAGGAAACACTAACCTGTCATATGGCACATTTTAATTCCAATAATACAATTCATAGAATTATTAACTTTTAAAGTTAATTTACATGTTATCCATTGTAGTAGATATTTAGAATGTTAGTCTTGTGACATCATTTAAAATGTATTTTATTTTTAAACATCTGCATGAGGTAGAAGGAACTCACACAAGAAAGTAACCTTCAACATACTGACATCTATCCATACAATTAGCCCCAAGTGAGAAGAAAAGTTACAGTGTTAAGCTGGTACATTATTGACTACTGTTAAAATTTTACCCTTATCTGAAAGAAGTTTCTTATATTTGAAATGGACATTTTTCCAGTTTAAGGTATTATATTATAGAAAAAGAATAATACACACTCTAAAATATTTTAAAAGATTGTATACAACAGTTTCTCTTAGCTATCCTTTTTTAACACGTTGCTCCAAATCATCTCAGTTGAGACACAGGTCCTTTCTACTTAAAGAATTCATCACATATCAATACAGAAGCCAAAAATCCTTCCAGTAAAAGCAAGATAAGAGGCATGATTCACATTTAAAATAACATACTTCTCAAAAAAACTAGCAGCACTTCATTCTACAGGACATAAAAATTTGGCTTCACTGACTGGTCAGAAACAAAGGAAAATGCACTTAGGGCCAAAAGAGCTCCATGCACGAGAGGAATGTGAGGCTATGAGAATTTTTCTCTAACAACTATTTCCCCACTAGGTGGTATGTGAAACTACTGGAATGTCAATTTCAAGGGCAGAGAGGCGGGATCGTGCTGAATAGGGCTGTGAGTAAGTATGCATACTGGGAGGATGGGAGTACAATGGTTGCCAGAAAGGAGAAGGCAAAGATTTGCATGCACAATACCAAATAAACAGTAAAAGAGAAGTCATAAACAGGCCCCCAGCACTGGCAATAGTGACATACACTGCGTAGTCAAATGCAAAGACTGGCTCGAACTTCTTGTTCAGGTGGACATTATAAAAGAAGACCCAGATAGATGGGGAGAGGCTCACAGTACCCGCCAGGAAAAACAGAAGACCAGCCACCAGGTGGCAACCTGCACTATTGACCAGACACTTGGCCAGTTTGATGTTGGGCACTGAGGACCTGAAGGCAGTGTTGCACATTCCAATCAGGCAAAGCAGCAAGGCACCCATTGCAATCAGGATGCTGAGGGGGAGGGCAAACTGGAGGACACGCAAGTCTAGCTGGTCAACAGATGAGTACCAAGTAGTGTCGTACATCAGGCAGTCACTGCTCCCGTCGTACCGAGCACATTTTACCCAAAGGCCTGTGTAAACAGTGAGGTTCTTCTCATTTCTGTTGAAGGTGATCAATCGTAATTTTCTCCAGTTGGGAAGCAGAGTCCCCGCAAAGAGGCCTGCTACGGAGGCGATTCCACACAGGAAGGAAAGGACTGTGGCTGCATGGACATCCCGACAGCCCATGGCAGGCAAGCTTGTGCAGTACTGTCAGTCAGACTAAGGGGTAACACACAAGAGGACAAATCGTGAGGGGCAGTAGAACAGAGCAGGAAAGGTGATGCCAACTGGCAACACATCTAGTGACGAAAAATCAATGCAAAGAGGAAAACTCTCTCCTTTGTTTCATCTCACTGTACAATATAAATGTATATAAATGTATGTGTGTGACCTCACAGCGCAGGCACATACACCTGTGACTGGCCATTGCAGACTGGGTTACAGACCAATTAAAATCTTTAGCCATCAGACCTTAATTCTCTTCGTTGTCAATAACCATTCTTTCAACACATGTACATCAAGCACTTTTAATGTGTTTTATATATAGCAAGGACCAGAGCACTCATCAACAAATGCCACAAATTTAGCCTCAAATGTTCATACTGCAGGTGAAAATGGCTTACAAAAGGCAAAGTTGTGGGGAAATAAGCACTACATCCTATGGTCAGCAGGGCTTGAGGGCTGACTCAGCTTGAATGTTTGGACTCTAATCCCTATCTCCTTACTTACTAGCCAAGTGACCCTGAGACAGCTATAGAATTTCTCTGTGCCTCATTTTCCTCATCTGTAAAATTGAAAACCCAATGCCCATCTCATAGGGTTGTTCCATGGGTTCAATGAGGTAATAGAATATCAAGTGCTTAAAACACATGTGGAACACTTTAAGTGCTACGCCAAATATTAACTGCTTCTTAGCAACTCAATGCTTGGCACATCTGAGCAGTTCAAGAACATTTGCTGAATGAATGTTAAACAAGAAAAAGCAAACTGATCTCATTCCTACATACAAGGCACACCAGGAAATTATAAAAATGGACTCGACTCGTCTCCAATAAGTTAGTCAAAAGATGAGAACAAAGGTCCCTGAAATTATTCTTCTCAACTACTTCCTGGCTGACTCAAGATGACCCAGTGCTTTTCAGGGAAATCTACAGCTCTTGTTGGTTATTACACTATTACTATTCATATAAGATGAATGCAAAGATTTTTGAAGCAATGACAACAATTCTCTATTAGTGTTATTATAAAGAAAATAGGCTGTTCTTTCATACGAAATTAAAAGGTGACGTTCATCTTCTATATATGACTAACTATGAAAACCAGTACCTTATTCAGCTTTAATTTCTTCAAGGGTTTGAAACTCACACTCAAAGCCCCATTCAAATGTATTTTCTCTGTTTTCTATAATGCCCACTATGAGGCAACAGAGCTAATGAGGTAGCATATTTACATTTTTTTGGTCAGAGCACAATTGGGCAAAGCTGACAATAATTTTTATTCCTGGATTCAGAATAGTGGTGTTTAGAAAGTCCATCATCTTTTGCAAAATCAAATATTATCTGCTCAGATGGAGGAGTACTATTTCTAGGAGTTTTGTATCAGAAAGATGACTATGACCACAATTCTAGGAAACTGGCTTAGAATCTGATTCTCACATGTATTCCTGTGGAAGGGCACAATGTTCTTTAGAAAACAGTATGTTATTTGTACATTTAAGCCAATCACAAAATCTAGGAACAATTTTGCTAGCAAAAAAAAAAAATGCCTGTTATATATACATATTCAAATGACCATTTGTTAAAAGTCCTCCAGTTAAACATAGTTAATTGTAAGTTTTTCCATTAATATTAGTTTACTACTTGTTTACTATGTTGCCTTTTGTTGGTATTATTAGAAGTGGCAATTGTTTAGGGGAAAGTCTATGGATGAAAAGGCTTAAAGAAATTACAGTCTTATTTTTTTCATGCAATTTGGGAAAAAACAGTCTTGTTTAATTTTAACAACTGAACACTTTGGTCCAGCCATGGGAACTCTACGGCAGATTTGAGAATGTTTACATAAGAAAAGTCTACTAATGATGCCAAGCTCCAGAATTCAGTTCCCTGTTGGTTTTTGCCCATTCACCCATCTCCCCCACAAACTGCCAGCAACTTGCACAATGCCTGGCTCACAAGTTGTTCTAATGTTAAATAAATGAGTAGTGGGCTCTGTACAAAGACCACAGTAACTCACAAAGGTGGTCCATTGGTAATGGAGAACTAAACAAGGAAGTAGCTACTACCAAGCAATCATTCATTCAACATGTATTTATGCTGTGCTCAGTATCCGGCATGTGCAAAACACTCTGTTAGGTCCTGGAAGGACACTGAGACCACCGAGATCTGGACTTTGCTCCCAGTGTGTTTACAGTGAGACTTATGGAAAGAATAAGCTATTTTATGCCATCTAAAAAGACCGATAGGAAAGCAATTATATGATTACTACACACAAAGTGATTATTGTTAGCTTTAGGCAAAATGAATAAAATGTTCATAAAAATTTATCATTCAGAGCTAGAGAAAGATCGAGCAACAAAGGAGAATAAAGATTCAATTAAAGATGTTAAGACATAAGAAAAATGTTTCTTTCAAAGTTTCAGAACTCCAGATAACACTCAAAATCTTAACCCAATCACAATTCCTTCTTGCTTTTAGAGGTAGGGAACAAATACTTGAAATTTCAATGTATTTGATATTTCTCCAACCAAGCTACCCTGTACCACTCATTCCTGCAATGCAAATGGAATGAGAAACAAGAATGTATAACTTCATTATTAATAAATTCCTGTAATTCTCAGGCTACAGAATATCAAACGACATTAATGAACAGAGGTGGATCAATATTTATTTCAGTAGTAATTACATTTAACTATATCCAAAATGAAATCAATCAAGTGTTATATCAATCCTCTAAACTTGCTCTTGATGAAGCCTTGTTAGATCAGATCTCAGGAACTGAATCAAAGTCCTACTTGCAGAGAGTCAACAATGATACTATGTCATTTTTTCAGAAGGGAAATACTATTTTTTTTTTTTTTTTTGGCTGGGGCTGGGTTTGAACCCACCACCTCCGGCATATGGGGCCAGCACTCTACTCCTTTGAGCCACAGGCACCGCCCAGAAGGGAAATACTATTAACCACAATTCTTAAGCTAAATTTCAACCTTGGCGCTAGAATTGTGCCGAGCTTCTCTGGCTGCTTTACCTTTTATATCCTGTTCTTAATTCCACACACCTACAATTTGATAAGACACCCCTTGAGAGTGATAAAGTAACATTTTATAGGATAGCTAGGGAAAGCAATATGTTTAATGTTTTAAAACCAAAAGATAATGCTGACTTCCAGATCAGGATGTGTTCAGACTTGAAGGTAAAAAGACTTGTGTATATGTCAATTATATTGAATCCAGAATAATTTTTTTCAAATGCAAATCTGATCCCATCACTCTACTTCTTACAATTCAGTAATTTCCCATTTCTCATAGAATAAAGTGTCTAAAGTTTCAAATCCTCCCATGGCATAAACCATCTGATTCCTACCAAATTCTCAACTCCTTACATGACACTCTCCCACCTCACACATTACAATCTAAGTAGCCATATCAATTTTAATTTCCCAAATTTTCCACTTTCTAATCTGGTTAAGAGCTTTCCCTCTATTTTTTCTCCTAGAACTTTCTTAATGACAACCTTTTCTTTGCTTAACTAATAGTATCTATTCTTCATTCAGTTACCAGCCAGGCTTTCCCTAAACTTTCCTCCTACTCCTGATTATCTGCTCTAGTAGCACCTTTGTCCTTTTTTTTGGAGCAGTGGCCATTCTTATAATTCCTTGTCTATTGTTTTCTTTCCAACAAGCTGAGTTCTAGAACAAAGATCCCTCTATTCGGTTCACTATGTCTAATACTGGCACACAAAAAACACCCAATTATCTGTTGAATGAACAAACAGAGGGTCCATATGACTCTGATCAGGATACAGAGAGACAGTTAAATATTTACTCTAGTATCAGTTCTATTCATATCATTTGGGACACAGAATCCTGTGTTCTGAAGCATTCAGGCTGCTTCTAGACTATGCCCGTTTTCTATTCCTTATTGGCCAAAAGTTCATTTTCTTCCCCCAGAAACCTATAATCAGGAGATGAGGCCATTGCGAGGTAATTACATACAGACTGTGCCTCTAGAAATACATATCTAAGTTCAGCAACATTGGCTTATTTCAACAGTGGTTAGAAAAGTCAATTATTCCTGTGTTGATTCTTCTGTTTTCAACTTATTAGGTATGCCATGAATTGAATGTCTCCCTTAGTTGAAAGTGATTAACATCAAATTATTATTTATCACAGCTAAACAATATTTATTTTTTTAATAAAAATAGGGAGAAATAAACATCTTTTTGCCAGATGAAAGCCCTAATTGGGGACTGTGGAAAATGTATGAGGCTTGTCAGATTCTGTGTCCAATCTGACAAGCAGTCATGAATACTAGCTGAGTGACAGCTTCTAGCTGGGTCATGTGTACAGATGAGTGGCTTATTTGTTTCCATCCAGGAGGCAGCTCAGTATTGCTGTCTGGGAGACCAAAGCCCAAATACTAGTCATAACCTATCATTTACAAACTGGACAAGTCACTTATCTCTGCTGAACCTCAAATTTCTAAAACATTCCACAATACAGTTGTGAGATCATAAATAGCAAAGCCCTTTGAAAACCAGAATATGGTCAGAAATTTAAGTTGTAAAGATTACCACTGCATATTAGTCATTTGACTATCTGCTCCACAGTGACTTTTGGAGGACATGGATAAAATTTAGTACACAATTACAGGGACAGGTGGGGCTTGGGTGCTCCACCGGATCCTGCCCTGCCTCTATTTTTTCTGATTAAATAGTTTTTGCAAAATGGAAAAAAAAATTTAGTACACAATTGTTATCAAAGACATCATTTCAAATAATACTATATTCAAAATGATATCTTTCCTTGAATTTTAAACAGGGTTCAAAGAAGGCTGGAGCAGAACTAGTAGCTAAGAGATTTTGGAATTCATAGATCCATTGCTATTTTCTCAGGGACAATTCTGAGGAACAGCCATAAGAGAACATATGTCTAATAGCTGCTAAATTAATTCTTCGCAGTCCCTTCTACCTATAATTTGGGTTTTCATAGAAACTGTAAGTCATCAATCATTGCACTTACAAGGGAGGTCTTTCCTACATCTTTATTTTGTGGAACTAGAGAAAAAAGTATCATTATTGGCTAATATATGATTAGCAAGAGGAAGAAATATGAGATACAGTCAAAGATGTACTTACCCTTTGAGGTGTCTGATAGTTTTAAAACAGCTTTAATAAACTTAGAAGAAACACAAACAGATCTGAACATACAGTGTGGTGATGATCTGGACCTAAAGAAATAGGAAAAAGGTCCCAAATAATATGGTGTTTCTCTCAAAACTCAATGTAAATTCACATAGATTAGAAAAGTAACTAGTAATCATCTAAAACCAATGAAATGTTATACCAAAAAATGGAGGGCAACTTGTTTTTTTTTTTAAAGGTAGTTTATTCTTAAATTTATGCATTATTTATATGTACGATACAAAAGAAAAAATTAACTCTCATTTTGTAACTTGAGACGATAGGAGAAATAAAAATCACTTTACTGTCATGGCAATAAATGATCATATTTAATGATTTTTTAAAGTCCCAAAATAAAAAAAAAAGTACAACTGCAACTATTTAAATTGTACATGAACTTTATGGCCACCGTGTGTGTGTCTTTATATATATATATATATATATTTTTTTTTTTTTTTTTTTTTGAGACAGGGTCTTACTCTGTTGCCGGGGCTAAAGTGCATTGGTGGATTCATACCTTACTCTAGCCTTGAACTCCTGGGCTCAAGTGATCATCCTGCCTCAGTCTCCTGAGTACTTGGAACTACAGGTCTGCCCTACCACAACTACCACCACCATCACCACCTCCCCACTCCCCTGGCTGATTGTATTTTTGTAGAGATGGGATCTCACTATGCTGCTCACAAGTGATCCTCCTGCCTTGGCCTCCCAAAGTGCTATGATTATAGGATAAGCCACCATGCCTAGCCTTAATGAATTTTTTAAATCTTTTTCTTGATCATAGTGACAGAATAAAGGGGGTGAAGAATCAATGTGCAGTTGTCTTGGAAGGAAAAGAAATTCATTGTGTCTTCTAGACTTTTTAAAAGGATACTAGCAGCAAAGCGAGGTGAAGCTGACATGCACTAAGCATCCTAAAATTTGCTACAAGAATGCTTTTGAGTTTATAGTTCCACCAATGGCCCAATCCACCATTTTAGGATGCTTCCATATACCTACTTTAAACATCAGCTACTTCTTCTTTAAATACTGCTCTTAGAGATAGGTTCTGACTGTGTCACCCAGGCTGGAGGGCAGTGGCCTGATCGCAGCTCACTTAACCTCAAATCCTGGCCTCAAGTGATCCTCCTACCTTAGCCTTCTGAGTGGCTAGGACTACAGGCCTCCCACCCCACCCCATTAATTTCCAGGGAGGAAGAAGGACAGGATCTTGCTATGTTTCCAAGGCTGGTCTTAAACTCCCAGTCAACTAATCCTCCTGCCTTGGCCTCCCAAAGGGCTGTGATTACAGGTGTGAGACACCCCACTAGGCTTTATAAATACTATTTACCTCAAACAGGTAGCATGAGAATGAAAAGGTGTACACGCCTGAGAGCTTCCCAGATGGAGGCATTCATCACTAACTCTATTATGATCATTATGCAGAATATGGTCCACAACAGTCTACACAGAGATTTCAATCAAGTTTTCCCCCCAAATGTATGTTTCCAGAGTTAGTATCAAGCATAATTGCTTACTCCGAAGTCAGAGGAAGTCCTTTTTACAATTAATAACACACAACAGAATCCCTGGACAATCATTTTAAGTGGGGTTACCAAGTCTGTCCTGTCTTTATCTAATGTGGTGACAGTGCCCCTCCAAGGAGTGAACACAGAAACCTGGACTTCAGGGGAAAAAAAACCCCAAGCTTCCAAGGCAAGCTTCCCCCCTCCCCACCACTTCTCTCCTCCTCCACCCCTTGTAGCTGTGTCCTTAGGAGCAGCAGAGCTGGCAGAAAGGAAAAAAAGCCCTCCTGGGTAGAGCCAATGGAAAGAGACTTCAACAGCGACTGCCGACGCTCTCAGAGCCCATCCCTGCAACACCGAGTGGGTTTGAACCGCAAGCAGGTCATCATTACACAACCAGCATCAGCTGCTTATTCAAAAATAGCAACTTGCAGCTCCATTCACACCTGGCCCAGCCGAGCTCCCAGCCCTTTGCTGCTCCGGCAACACACTTCGACATTTCCATATTCTTGTGTTCCTGTGTACAAAATAATTTTGTAACGCTTTATTAAATCCCCCTCACTCAGTTTTCACGTCCACGAATGTGGTCAGCATTTCTCAATCTCATTCCTCTGCCCTCAGCTATTTTAATAAAATCCTCAACTACTTATGCTAAAGACCCAGAAACGAGGACATTCCTGACCACACCTACCTGCTTCTCACACGCAGGGCAGTTCAGTCGCCCACACCGAGCAGCGTCTGGCAGCCTCCTCCTCAGCTCCTCAGGAAGTGCGTTCCGGAGCCGCCCGAGGGCTTCTGGGAGCGCAGACCTGCTCTCCCGCCGCCCCCCACGGAAAGCCGGGAATCCCGGGACTACAGCTCCCAGAAGCCACGGGAGCCGGGAGTCCTGGGACTACAGCTCCCAGAAGCCACGGGAGCCGGGAGTCCTGGGACTACAGCTCCCAGAACGCACCGCGCCGCGGCGGCCGCTGTGCCGCTTGCAACCCATTCCTTCTTCCTTCCCCCACTTCGGTCTCCTCGGATTCCGCTTTCACGTTCTGTTCCGTCTAAATTTGGGTTATCGGTTTATAAAATAATAATAATACATATTTTTAAAACAGAGTCTCACTTTCTCACCCTGGGTAGAGTGTCGTGGTGTCACAGCTCACAGCAACCCCAGACTCTTGGGCTCAAGCGATCCTCTAGCTTCAGCCTCGCGAGTAGCTGGGACTAGGGCGTCCGCCACAACGCCCGGCTATTTTTTTTAGAGATGGAGGGGCTCGCTCTGGCTCAGGCTGGTCTGGAGCTCCTGAGCTCAGGCAATCCACCCACCTTCGCTTCCCAGAGCGCTAGGTTACAGGCCTGAGCTATCTCAGCCTTAAACTAAAAATTTTGAGTTGGGTACCCATATAAATATTTCCTATTAAATGTGACCTTCCCATAGAAGGAAGATTGTTAGAAAAACTCCTTAAAACTGAAGTTTTCCCCCTCAAACTGTTCAACTTGGCACAAAGTAGAAGAGAGTTTAGAACCAAGTGGCCTAGGGTTTCCGTGGGGCTCAGCAACATATTGGCTGGGTGACCCTGGGCAAGTGACCTAGTTCTGAGATTATCTGTAGACATGGATAATAGGATTACCTACATTACACAATTGACTTGAAAACTGAGGTACTTGGTAAAGCATAGAGCATACATAGAGCATACAGCTAGCATTTGAACTAACTTGACTTTCCCACACATAGTACCTATCCCTATCCCAGTCTGCCCCAGTATAACCTTGGGCAAGGTAAGTAACCCCTTTGTACCTCATCTGTACCAAAAGTATGCCTACATCAGAAAATTATGATGAAGATTAAATGAATTACTATATGAAAGAAGTTTACAACAGTGTCTGACACAATTACTGTTTGCTGTTGGCATTTTCTATTTTTGTGTTACTCTAGTAACAATGGAATTATCAGTGATTAAAACATGGCAGGGTGGGGTGCTACTGTCTGTCCACTGCTACCCTGTTCTCATTTCCCATACTGCTTCCGAGGAGAGATGAGGCTAAAGCTAAAAGCAACCTGATCCCAAATGTAATAATAAGAAAGATACTACTGGGTGGTGAAAAGATCTCTTGGCACAGATAGGCCTGGGCTTCAGGCTAACTCTAGCAATAGCAGATAGATAACAGCAGTGTTACACAGGATATCTTTACTCTGAACTTCAGTTCTATTGTCTATAAAACAGGATTGAGACGATGCTTACTGGGCTTCATGTGAAGGGTGACAACGTGATCTCATCCTACACATGCAGGAGAGGGGCTGCACCACTTTCAGATACCACCTTGTGTAAAAGGCCCCACCTGCCATAGGAGAGAAAGTTCTCCTTCCCAATGCACCAGCAGGAATGCTTGTTGGACTTCCACATGAAGGGTGATCTTCTTGCACATCCAGAAGACAGGCAGCACCACCTTCAGAGGGCACCTTGAGCACAAGGAAAAATGGAGGCTTAAGAAGAAAGGGAATGACAGCCTAAGGGCCAGTTGTGGAGCAGTCAGAACACGTATGTTTATTGATTCAGTCTGCCATCTTACATTGGTGTGGTTTGTGGCACTCCAAAATAATTACAATAGTAATATCCAAGAGCACTGTTAACAGATCACCGTAACAAATATAATAATAATCAAAAAGTTTTAAATATTGTGAGAATTACCAAAATGTGAAACAGAGACTGTAGAAAAATGGTGACAGGAAGACTTGATCTATGCAAGGTTACTGCGAACCTTCATCTTGTAAAAACTGTGATGTCTGCAAAGTGCAATTAAGTAAAGTGCAATTAAATGCCTTAGACCTGTATTTTGATCCACAAAACAACTCCCCCCCCCAAAAAAACAAAAATAAAAAACCAGGATTGACTCAAATAACCATTACAAAATAATTTTATAACTTTTTTTTGCAATTAAAATGGCTTTATTCCACCTGCGTGCAGGTGAGGTGAGCTTTCTAACCAGTAAGAAATCCCTCCTAACTTATTTCTTGATCATTGATGAATATTACCTGGGATGCATATGCAACTGATTATAGTAATTTAAAAAATCACAGCACAAAAGGCAATGGAAAGGAATAATTAAAAGTCTTAGCAGGGAATTCAGTGATTAGAGTCTTATAATATCTTTCTTAAAGTAACTTTAGGTTAGCAATGAAAAGTTTAGCTTTCCCATTTTTCTCATCAGCGATTCTTTAACTTTAGTAAGTCAAATCTTAAAACAAATATTAAGAATACTAAATCTTAACAATACTAAAATTCTTCAAAGATTCCCATTTGGTTACTATATTAATTTTCTATTGCTGCTATTGCAAATTATCACAAACTCAGAGGCGGTACATTTATAGTTATGGAGGTCAGAAGTCTGACATGGGTCTCATTGGGCTAAAATCAAGATGTTAGTCAGCTTCTTTTGGTTTTTGAGACTCCAGGAAAGAATATGTTTTCTTCACTTTCATGAGGACACCTGCATTCTCTGGATCGTGGCCTCCTTCCATCTTCAAAACCAGCAATAGTTGGTCAAGTCTTTCTCACAGCACATCATGCTGGCCCTCTTCTTTCTGCCTCCCTTTTCTGTCTTTTAAGAATGCTTGCGATCAATTATTTGGGCCCACCTGAATAATCCAGAATTACTCTTTGTTTTATGGTCATCTGATTATCAACTTCTATTTGCAACCTTAATTCTCCCTTGCTGTGTAACGTAGCACATTCATAGATTCCATAGATGAGAATGCAGACATACTTAAGGCACCATTATTATACCGACCACAGTCCCTAATAACTTCTTGCTGATTCCAAAGGCCTCTTTTCAGTCCTAATTTTCTTCCACCTTCAGATCCACATTATACAACTCTGCCTGCCTCTATTTCCTAACTCTTTTTTCTTGGATTTGGAAATGCCCAAATTTCTAGCTTTCTTTTTTTGTTTGGCTGGGTAGTTCTCTGACCGTCAGTGGCTTTCACTTCCTTCACCTCAATCCCCAGTATAATTATCAAAAGGTTCTTCCCTGGGTCCCCCTCTGTCAATAAAAAGATTCCTTAGAAGGAAATCCAATTTCTGTGTCCTTGAATCTGTATCTCTGGCCAAGACTTCTCCAAAATTTAATATAATAATTATTTTTCATTACCACCTCATATGGCAACTGTTATTACTTAAATGTCTCATGTTCCAAATAAAATCACCTTTCCAATCCAATTTCCTGCCACCCTCATACTTGGTAGATTACTTGTAATTATCCTACAGTTTTAAAACAGAAAAATATAAACTGATAATTTTATTACCTATTTTAGGTTACACAAAGTGTTTTTATTTATGTTTATACATTTTTGGAGTGTGATACTTTTCGAAGCAATCTCCAGGATGAAGTCCAAGATTTCTCTTGCATGTCTCAGTAGGAAATGGTTTCTCTCCTTCCACCTTTCTCACGGCTTCTGCTGCAAATGCAATCCTTTGTTGATTTTTTTTCATTTTTCATTATAAAATGCATCTTCCCATTTAGCCTTTCCTCAGTGTCAGAAGATGATGGTCTTCCCCTCTTTTTTGAATTTCTGTTCCTCATACTGCTCACAAGCTCAGTGATGAGATTTCTCCTGTAAGAAAGGTAGGTCCATGCTTTTTCTCCACTCTCCTTATCGAATGAGTAAAGGATGTAGTTGTTCACAAGAGCAACTTTCATCAACCAGAAGAATAGTTTTTTCTACCATTTGTAGGACTTCTTTGTAAATCTGTTAATATCCCCAGTACTGATCAGCTCTGTCCACTCTTCCCCAGAACTTTTGTGTATTCTAAAATAATTGTCAGTTTTTCAAATTGAACAGGCTGTTTCTTACTATAACCAGTGTTCGGCTGTGTTTGAGGGCCAAAGAACGTACTCAGCATTGCCACTAACTGTTCTCCTGGAAAGAGAGGCATGTCATTGTCATATCATATTGATAGGCACGTCATTCATATTCCTAGAAGTTTCTTCTTGTTGAGATCACTTGGAAAATCCTTCCTAGAAGCATTAACTGTTCCTGTTATGCAACAAAAACAAACAAGCAAAAAATGTGTCAGACATCTGACGTCTTCTGACATCAGAGTACAACAGGAAAATCTTGTCAGACAAGCTCCAATGTAGGATTGGAAAGGATTTTAAAATACCCCTTTGTCTCCTGTCACTCCTTATTTTGTTAGTAGTTTCACTTTATTTCCTAACTCATTTGATAGTTTCTTTACACCTTTCACTCAAATTTGGAACCACATCCCCTGGTTCTTCCTTTGAAATATCCATTTGCCCCATATTTAACAAGGAATTATCACAATTCTATCCAAGCCCTCACCTCTTGATATCAAGAATAGGTGCAATGATTTCCTTACATATACAAAGTGTCCCAAAATTCACCCCTAAAGTCACCATACATAGAGAAAATGGGAAATTGTAGTTAATGTACATCTAGAAAATATTACAAAATTTTATGAAAAGGCAAAAATGTCTAGAACATTGTTAATATTTTATAACATTTTGTAATTAATTTCTGTAAACAAAGATATATTTAGCTACAATCTCCCATTTTCCCCAGGTATGGCCACTTTAGGGATACCCTGTATATTAATGTTAATTAAAAATAATAACCTTAGTTATTACATATCAAACACTGAATTCTTTTTCATGGATTATCTAATTCCAATAATCCCATATTACTGGCAAAGACATTGAGATACAGAGTAATTTGCTAGAAAGTCAAGAATTATGAAGCAGAGAACCTTCCTAAAATAGTGCTGTCACTGCTTAGAACTCTATAGACTCAGTCCATTCTCCTC